ACGGTCATCGGATCATCAGGAAGCTTCAAAACAAGTTGTAGTTTTTATTTTGATGAATTATTATTTAAACATTAAAAAGTTGTTCAAAACATAAAATGTTGAAATTATTTCCTCAAGGCGCTAATACGTGCTTTTTGGTCATTGCGTTGCATGGAGAGATATGTGAAATGGGAGAAAATTTTGCAAATTCTCTATAGGGTTGAGATTTTCCTATCAATGAGACTTTTGATGAAATTAACAAGACTTCTCATGAATTCGCGCAAATTAATAATTTCTGTTACACTTGTTTTTAATAGGCGCAAAAAATAGTATTTTGCACTATTGTTTTTTTCAAAAAAAAAAACATGAATATAGAGAAGCCATAGGTTTTTATGAACATAATGAGAGGAGAACAAGCTCAATATATATATGAAGGATGTGGAGAAAAAATAGACAAATTATAAACTATCCTTTGTAGTGAAATTGTGAAGTGTTTGTGTTGAATTAGTAACATATTTGAGAAGGATGCATTTGGCTGCTAAATTGAGGTATATTTTAGGGAAAACCCCTTAAGAGATTTTAATGAAGAAATTTAATTTTCAAGAAGTCTCATGACTTAATTGTAAGTTAGTTTTGATGTATATTTACCAAACTATCTTTATTTAAAAAATAAAAAGATTATCCTGGTCATTTTGGTAAATGTACTCGAATAATTTAATGAATAGGGCGAGCCCAATTTTAATGGAGGTGGATCTTTGCCATTTTTGTCATATGAACTTGCCTATCAAACATACTAGGTAGGACAACCCAGTTAAAAACGTAAAATGAAGAATGGAATTTTCAAAAAAAAAAAATCAAGTGAAAGTTTATATAAACTATATATATATATATATATATATATATATGCGAGCGCGCACATCCAATACATTTTAATGTAATAATGAAAATTGAATGTTATATTTTAACAGTTAAAATATATTTTTATGTTGTATATGTAGACTCACTTTTTGTTGTATTATGTATTGCCTTATGAGAATGGGTCACAGATAGAAAAGCAAATTTGAATTTATATAATGGAGTGCAAGCTGGCTCGAGAAAGGTAGATAATACACTTCATCGCAATATATATATATATATATATATATATATAAGATTATCTTTATTTTTATGTAGTTATATTTTTTTATGACATATTACTTGTTTGTATGCTTAAATAGTTTTTAAGGCCAGATGCAAAAAGAACGAAGGAGAGCCAGTTGAATTGCACAAGACCAGTCACATTTGGGGGTTCAAAGATTCATGGAGGAGGAAGGAGTTGATTATTAATTTAATTTATTAATTTATACAAAATAATTTTATCAATTACATAGCATAATAAATTTGACATAACTTGAACATTTTTCATGTGATACAAAATTTGAAAAAAAAAAAATCAATCGTACTGAGTTGTGGATGGGAGTAAACACGAGAAGAAGCAGTTTCGTTATCCAAACAATAATTATACATATTTAAATTTTATTTTAATTTTTATAAAATATATCAACGATCAACACTGTCATTGTATTATTATTTTAATGATGAATATATTTTTTTTTGACAAATTGCAAAATATATTTATTAAAAAGCAATCTCAATTGTGGCCTTCTGATTAGACTATTAACAATGGACCAAATGATTTTTAATGCTCATCATCTCAATATTTCATATTGCGTGATTGCATTTTGATGATTAATAATTTCCAAGCTAATCCGGAAAGTGCACTTAGAAGTTGCATGGATATGTCTGATAGAATTAACTAGCATGATTATTTCAATTATATAATAATGATTCTCCAATCAATCTGAGACTTGTTATCTTATATTTCTTTTTCGTCATTATATAACTAATTGTCTACATACTCTACAGTCTACACATATATATACTCTCTATTTAACTAATTCTAGTATGACAAACTAAATAAGACGTATGAGTTATAAAAAAAAAATATATAAAAGCACAAAATGTGGATGCATCTTGATCAAATGAATATATCAGAAATGAACTACTGAATCATTTTAGGCTACAACTATTTTCGGTCAACCAAACTTATTAGACTATGAAAATTTAAAATCGTTGACATTTTTATTTAACGGCCGGTCTGACTTTTAAAAAATTGATCATCAAAGTCCCATCCCTAATAGAAGTGGTTGAGCCACATCTATGTGAATGGAGGCAAATACACTTCCTTATATAGGAAAAAGTGCATATGTAATGTATAATTTTCACAACTTTACATCCATGCTTTTAGAATTTTAGACCCCTAAACTCAATAAAAAATATTTAGGATCAAGGAGTATTTGTGATTGTAAGCTTATTTTTTATGCAATAATTTCTTTTAACTTTTAAAAACAATGCAAGTCACTTTTGTCATTGATAAAAAGTTAACTTTAATTATTAATTAATCAGAAAATAATTAAAAAATACATAAAAAATTATAGAAAAAATAAAAAAAATTTAATTTCTTGATATTTTTGATAACTTTTTATGTCATTTTTTGTAGTATTTGATTTTTTATAATTTTTTATTATTTATTAATCAACTAATAATTAGAGTTAACTTTTATTAATAGTAGGAGTGATTTTATTAATAGTAGGAGTGATATTTTTAAAAATTAAAGAAGAATATTATATTAAAAATCAGTTTTAGATGCAATTCAATGTTATTTATATGACTTCAATGTTTTTTTTTTTTTTTGTATCCATTATTTTATCAATTTATCTGCCCTTTTTCTTCCCTTGGACCTTGTAGGCCCTTTTGACTCCCCTCTATCTTGGCATACAAGGGCTCGGTTACTCAGCACAGTTGGGTCCGAGGTTAGTTAAAAAAGATTGATTAACATGGGCACAATTTTCACATTTTGCACCTTTTCTTTTATTTGCTCTGCATTTCTCATTTACCGTGTTGGTTAAAAAAGATTACAAAGCAAAAAAGAGTCAAAAACATGTGAGGTGATTTAGAAGATTCGGGTGCAAATTTTCCTGTGGGTCCCAGGTGATCCTGGTTAATTTTGCCCAATTTATTTTCCTTGCTTGTTTTTCGTTTCTTTCTGCCGTTTTCTTTTTTCTTTTTTCTTTTTTGTTTTGCTTGTTCCGCACAGTGAGGACACTGTGTATTTCGAGTGTAGGGGGTTTGTGGTTTGCTTGTGCGAAATTATGCATGATTTGGGGCAAATAACTAATTTACTCAGCTGAATTTTAATTGAATTTGTTTTTGTCCAACAGGAAAGGAGGCAAAAGATTTTTTTTTTTTTTTTAGGATGTTGTTTTTATGATTAACCAACATCATTTTTGTAGGCAGCTCAATTGTTATTGGGAAATTAACTAGGATCAGCTGGCACCCACAGGAAAATTTGCACCTGCATCTTCTACATCAACTCACGTGTTTTGACTCTTTTTTAACCAAGACGGAAGTGCTTAGGGGTATGATTCATTATCAAAAATGCAAAGCAAATTAAAAAAAGGAGCAAAATGCAAAAATTGTGCCCATATTAATAATCAACCACTTTGCTAGTCCCAACCGTGCTCAGTGTTTATAGGCTAAGACTCAGCAACGGCAAGTTCAGTAGTTGTACCTCTTTTCTTTTCTTTTTTTTAAATATTCATATACACAATATTAAATACAATTATGATTATGATTTTTTTTTATGATCAAAGGAAATTCTTATGACCACAACTTTTAATTATACATCTCTTTCTTTATGTTAGTGTTGAAAAATTAGGAGGAAAAATGAGCCTAACCTCCATGTAAAATATGCCAATAAAAATTGGTATTTTCTACCTGCAAGGCCTTTTCATAACATAATACAAGTATTTTTTTATGATTTTGATAAAATTATATGGATTGTTCTATTTAATGTATAAGAAAACTTTTTTTAATACAAAACTGATAATATATAGCATCTACTTCCCATTTTATAAGGGTTTTTTTTTATAAGATTATATATACCAATGGAATCTCATAAAATGCAATTTATAATCTTAATTTCTCCAAACAAAAAATATAAATTTTTAAAAATACTCTTTAATTAATATAATCCCAAAAATTTGTGAAAGCATTAGAGAGAGAAGATAATTAAGAGTGAATGGTAATAATGGAATAACAATTATTATTGAAGTCCTATTTCCTTTGAAATATCATGTATTTTAAAATAACAATTTTAAAAATGTTTTATAAAATGAGATGAAGTGGATACCTTTTACGGTTTTAGTACTAAAATACTTCATTTTAACCTAATCAATTTTGCTCATCTTTGTAATGGAATTGTTCTGAGGTATCCACCTAGATATTAAAGACAGTAGGTCCCTTTTATGGATCTCCAGGAATGCTAAATTAGTTAATGAATGGTTAGATAATGATTATCACAAACAATTGTCCCTTACCAGAAGATAAAAAACCAAATATGCATTTCATTATAAAAATAAAATCTATTAAAATAATGTCACAAAAAATTTTATTTAGATAATTTGAGAAATTGTAATTAAACAAATTACAAATGACATTGCACATTTAGTTTACTTGAAAAAATTTCCGTAGGGATTTTATCCCCCTCTCCTTTTCTTTGGTTCCTCAAGGCATTATGTAAGTGTGCAACTTTATGAAATGATTTTAGCTTATGGAAGGTGTCTGGTATTCCATTCAATGTACAATTTACTTCAAACAACATTACACCATATTATAGTTATTTGAATTTAACTTTTTTAAAAAAAGATGGAGGCATTTCACTTAGAATCATTCTATTTTTTTCATTAACTAGGAAATGCCCCTGTGATATTTGGGGTTAATTTCTACTTTTTTTCTCCTTTTTTTTTCTTGGGTTCCTCAAGGCATTTCGTAGGTGCACAACTTTATGAAATGTTTTTGGCCAAGCTCATATTGCATTCAATGTACAATTTACTTCAAACAAGATTACAACATATTATAATTATTTTTGACAAACTTCAACAGTTCTATATACATCTTTAGAAACTTCAATAAAGTTTGCACATTACTAAGACAATAATTTTAAGTCACCTGTCATATTTTTATAGACATAACCAATACATGAATCCAGATGAAAATAATTCTTGAGAAAATTGTGCATAAAGACAAAAGGATGGAAATATTTGAAAGAAATGATCAAGCTTTGAAGATTGGTAAAGGTGCATTGGAGATGCGCAGTTGAGAGGTAATCATTTATATTAAGTGGCATCACAAATGTAACAGGTTCTAGCTTTCTGCATCCTCATTGTTTTTGGTTTTCTTTCTCATCACTTCACTTTGGGTGAGTATCAACTTGATCTTCCTTCCAGTAATTATTAATGATGATGAACAATGGATGACAACTTTGGTGTGATACTTTAACCGGGGATGTTGCATTAATGGACTAGAAAACAGAGCAGAATTTGAATCAGACTGTGAAAGTTAAGGAGGCATTATTGAACTGATGCATTCACTTCACTTATTTCCATAAGAAATTCTCATCTACTTTTGTTTGTTAATTGCTATAGAAAAATTAGAACCTAAAGAGTCAGAAAATTAATAGATAAAAGATCATGGACTAGTCATTATCTTTGTCTTCTTCAAGGAAGGAGAATTTAATTCTAAATGAACAGCAAGACAACCGTGTCATCATATTTTACTTTTATAGAATGCTTTTGATATTTGATTCTAAAGGTACCAAATTAAAATAATAGCACATTAGCTTATCAACAAGGAATAGCTCAAACAATTTGAGTATACCTAACCTTAATAACCCACCGAAAAACAAGAATAAAAAAGAATCAAATGAGTCTTACTAAACTCCTATCTTTCATTGGATAGGCCTAGTTTTGCAAATTCAATACGTTTTGTTTCTTAAAACCAGTAATCTAAGCATTTGGACGCAAAGTGGCAAACTCATGTTTCCTTCATATCAAAAAGTATGCATTTCAAAAGTCGTAAAAGTCCCACTCGATTTAAATGAATTTGAAGTTCCACTATAGCGAGATGCCAATGTAAGAATCGGGAACAGCCACAGCCAGGATTTGCTAGAGTTGCATTAGAGACCTAGTACTGTCACACTTAATCTACACCAGTAATGTTTCACTATTCTAAAGTACCGTGCCTCCTACTTCATTGACCATTTCTATATACATTCACAATCAACATTGCATCCAATTTTCCAAACAAAACTATGGGTTTTCTGGGCATATATCTTAATTATTACATGGCAACCACCTAGTGAGAAGTTCTAACTTGCAACTATTATCCATTTACAAAGAGCAGCGTGTGATGAAATCAGTTAAGGAAATGCATAAAACTAAGTTGCAAACTCATATATTCACCACTTTGTCGATTTACATTTGCCTGAAATTGCATTCCCTTGAAAGTAAGGCATGAAGGTTCTTATAACTTCTTCATAAGTTGGTCTCTTGTAGTCCACTGCCTGCAATCAGTTATGCGCAATCAGTTCTTCATAGAGATAAAATGTTCAGACTTAGGCTTCAACACACTTTTGTCCCTTTGATTTTTTTTGGAAGTTTCAATATGGTCCCTTCAGTTCAAAAGCAAGTAATGTTATCTTGCCTTAATGTTTTCTAAAATGCTTCAATGTTGCCGGTCAGTTAATCTGAAAGTAGGCAAGTGGCTAAGTTTGACAATAAGTTTATGGATAAAGTGACAGGCAAGATTGAATCATTTCCGAGTAAAACTAACAGGGATGATTTGAAACTTGTACAAGACTTGGGGGATTGAAAGTGTATTTAAGCCTAAATTCACTATCAGTAAACAAGTTTCTGAAACTAGCCTGCTCAATAACTTCATCAGGGTTAGCCCATTTCCACTCAGAGAATTCTGGGTCCGCTTCACCTGTTGCTAAATTGATCTCACTGTCATCTTTTGTTAACCGCATGAGGAACCTATTGGATGTTCAATGTCAGAAAAAAGCACAGTTTTTGAAAAGTACCCATCTAAAATTTGTCAGAGTTCAAACATGAGCAAGAAATTCTAGGCTAAGCTAAAAGAATGGCAAGTTTTTACTCACAGTTTAAACATCAATATCAAAATATAGGCTAAAATTTTTTTGGGCCATCTAAAAAAGTCTTTTCCACAATAGCAGAGCAGTATGTTAGGGAAACCAGAGATGGAAAGCTTGACAAACCCTGATGTTTATTTTGCAGGAAGGCCTAATTTCATAGATTCATATTGTATTTATCATTAGATATATTACTAATTCAAATTTAACCTAAAGAGAATTCCACAAAAAGACTGAAACTCCAGAAAAGAAAGCTCAATTATGCCACTGATCAGTAGACATTCTTATTTTAACTTTGACTGAATAGACTAAACATACTTAAACATCCAACCAAGTCAGGCAAATAGGTTGGACAACTTCAGCTCAAAGACATGTTCAAATGTTCTTTCATCAAATTGATCAATGAATACTATATAGTCATATGAATAACCAGATTTTGTTCGACTGTTAGAGTCATTTGTTTCGTTCTTTCCTCAATTTCCGTAAGTAATGTGGGGTTGCATGGAGATCCTGTATGCAATTTAACATACAAGACAAAACTGATAAATAAAAGTCAATTTACACACTTGTATTTGCCCAGACAAATCCTCTCAGAGTATGGAAAACAACCTTAGACAAGAATACTGAATGAGCTCAATATTCTGAAAGCAAAAATAACTAGATACTAAATATCCAAAAGCATTCTAGAACTGCAAGCCTTGATGTATATTTGTCGAGACCTATGACCATATCATCCCTTGCTCTAGCGAGCAAAGTTAGTTCACAATCATATCAACAATTCCACCTCAGGCATATCAATTCATATACACTCACATATCACCCATGTGTTCACAGCTGAACTGAGTTCGGACTATTGGCTAGATCTGCCAATCCGTAAATCTACATATGCATGTTCAGTTATTTATTTATACTAAAACCTCCTTTAATTTGAACAAAAATAGGGAGATCAACCAAGAAACCAAATATCCAATAGCGTCAAGAATTGTGGCTTCAAGGTGAAATTGATGGTTCATAAGGTGAAGGGCATCAAGTACAGCATGCAGCTTTTAGTTCACATGCATGATCATCATGATATGAATAGGTCAAATTTAGCCATGCAACTAACAAGTTCAAAAGTAAAAATACTTTTCTCTATGGATTGTCAAGTATGCGGGTCTGCCAACAAAAAGCGTATAAAACACACCATTTTTGTGCCTGCCCATGCCATTCGCCTCCCCACAGACGATTAACTTTAGCCTTCACAGGAGGAGGGAAGTCATAAGTCAACCATTTTGGAACCTGTAAAGCACAATCTCTAATCAACTCTACTTGATTATCAAATAATGGTGGAAAGAGATGCCCATAGAATCCAGCATTTTCATAAAATGTATAATTGTTGTTCACATTTCTTTCTTCTCAGATATTGTTTCTCTTCATTTTCTTGATTCTTTAATTTGTATTACTCTTAGATATAAGCATAATCATTTTTGTTTGCCAGAGAGACTAAAACAAACCAAAAACCAAGTGATAAGAGCCAGAGTTGCACAAACCTCAGCAATTATTTCAGCAGATACTACTCCTGTTTCTTCTTGGAGTTCTCTAATGGCAGCAGATTTTGGTTCTTCACCATCCTCAATCCCACCCTGAGATTCAAGACCACAGAGGAAAAGAGGAAAAGCAAAATAAATTCTAGCTGAAAATTTTGAGCTAGTGACAAAAGATTATCAAAATGTGGCAAAGAGTCTGTCTGCCATATTAGAGATAAGAACTAAGCAATACTGCATATTGAGCTTGCCAGAATGGTGGCTGTCCAATCTTGCAAGGCCAAAATAGACCCCAGTACATAATGAAAAGAGTTTTTTCTACTGTTAATGATGAATGGTAATGAGTTACCCTTTCTTAGCCAAATTATGCTTTACAGTGGCTGTGGCATTAAAGGAAAGATGCCAGCTGAAGACAACAGCATTTACGGGAAAGGTAAAGATATTAAGAAGCTGATTTGTGGTTCCCCCAACAGACGCGTCAAAAAAATTATTTGCAACAGCATTAAGAAAAAATGCAAAAGCAATACCATGCATTTTAGTTTTCTCACAAACAAAGTTGCCAAGTGAGATCCAACCAATGTCCTCCACACAAAAATCATGCACTATGTGACGCCTTCACTTTACTAATTCTATGTTTTGGCTATAGGTTATGACTCAATAACTCATTTGCATTCAATGTAATTTAAGAAAAAAACAAAAAGAAAAGAAAAGGTCACCTGAGGCATTTGCCATGCTCCTGGTACATTCAATCTGGAAGCCACAAAAATCTGAACCAAAAAGAAAACCAGGGTTATACAGAGCTACTTGTAAAACAGGATGGGAAAAAAAAAAGGAGGATATATATTGATAGAAGTGCTAGACCATAGACATAATATCTCGTGTTTAAATTATCAGTTTGTGCAAGAGATTAGAAACATAGTATCTCAAACAAAGAAAACAGGAAGTAGATCAGGTTGAATAATGTAAAACGCCTATCATAAGTTGTAGGTAGTTCATTCTAGCCAGATTTAAAGTGAATCAGCAGACAATTTTTCAATCTGGGATAAAAAAAAATAAAAAAAGAAAACGGTTCGTAAAGTTCCTGGCAACTTTCTTGTAAGCAGTCATGAGAAAGGGAAGGGAAAAGACAGCAGCACATCAAATCAATTTTCCAAATATATATAATGAAATTACGGTGCCAGTGTTCATTTCAGTTACGGATCAAATGACCGACTTACTTAAAACAGATAAATCAACAAGAGAAACTTGAAGAACCCAAATAGAAAATTTTTGCAGCTTTTTAATTTATCAACTTTTCGGTGAAAACTGTCCAATTTACTAGACAAGAAAAATTCACGGAAATAAAAGACCCCACCTGGATATAACAATGAGAAAAGAAAAGGAAAAATACATAATAACACAAATCCAGAACCAATGAATGATAAAAACAACAAAACCCAGTGCATTTATGTGGCAAAAAAAAAAAACAGTACATTTAAGTCGCTACTTGTATAGCTTAAGCAATAAACAGTACACAGAGAGAGAGAGAGAGAGAGGAAACCTGGAAATCGGAGTTGATGAGACAGACTCCAACGTTGGGACGGTAACCTTTGGGAAGGCCTTCCATGGTTATCTCTTCGGGGAGAACTGGATTCTGTTAGGGAAAAACACTGGTGTTGTGTTGTGTTGATGATGGGATCGGTGTGAGAGATAGAAGAAAGCGGAAAAAACAAAAGTGGGTTATTTGTGAACTGTGAAATTGTGATACGTCGTGAGGAGTGGGTGCGGGACTGCGGGTGCGTCTTAATTTGGTGTGTGGGATGAGTGACGGACGTTGACTCTGACAAGAAAGTGGACTCACACTCACACGAGAGCGTGGAGATTTCTTCCCCTCTTATCCTGCGCAGTGCTCACCTCGCCAACCACTTATCTCCCTGCCTTTAAAGGGTGGAAATACCATGTGGCTCGCATATGGTTGCTACTGTGAGCCTCTTTCTGGATTATTTCTTTTTTTTTTAATATCCAGTTGATAAAATCACATGAGGCAGGTGACCAAGCAATGGATTAAGTTCTTAAAGGTGTCAAGGATTAGCTGGAATTCACCATTGTTTTGGTCCAAAGCTTCACTCATAGTATAAAGTAAGCTATAATTTTAGAATTATATTATAATCTAACTTAATTTGACTTAATATGGATGTTAGGTTAGTTATGAAAATTGAAAAGAAAATCCTCACAAATAGTTTTAATTATTTTAAATAGTTTGATATCATGATCTAAATTGATTTCGCTAAGTGGTTTGGTGACAAAATTTATAAGCATGATAAAAGAAATGAATAATATAATTTTTAGTTACTATTTTTCTCTTAAATATTGATTTATTTATTGATTTTTGATTTAATATAGCTTAGTCTTTATATTTATTTATTGAATTAAAAAAATTATAAAAATGAAGTTGCACTGAGTTACAAAAATGAAAAAAACTTATACATTTAGCCTTGTATATTTAAGATTTTTTCAATTAAATTAAAACATGTGTGTCTTTTACAAGTTATTTATTCTATAATAAAAAATTTTTATAAATAAAATTTTAGGTGAATTAAATCTCAAGGGCTCATCAAGCCAGGGCATACCTCTAAATTTAAAGAGTGCTTATAAAAGTATTTATAGATTATTACTAACAAAATTTTCACATTAACGATAAAATTTAAACCCACAATCTTATAAGTTACAGGCCAAATATTTACTAACTAGATTAACTTTTGTTAGTTATTCTATAATAAACTCTTGTTATTAATATTATTAACATATTAAAATTCACTTATCCTAATTTGATTGGACAAAAAGTATGTTAAATATATAAGATTAAATACTAAAGTCTTTTCATTCAAAAATCATAATGACTAAGTTATTCGATTCAAGAAATTATAGAGATTGAGTTGGTCTGAATCAAAATTTAACAATTAGATTGATAATTAAAAAAATGTAGGACCTGAAAGTTATACAACTCCTTCATTTCAAATTATAAGATACTTTTAAATAAAATTTTATATATCAATAAATCTTATTAAATATACTTAACAATCATTTTTTAAAACAAAAATATAAACTTTAAAAAATACCTTTCATTTAATATATTAAAAAAAGAAAGCTAAGAGAATTAAATAGAGAGAGAGAGAGAGTAGATAATATTGAAATAAATATATTTAATGAAATTTAATTTTCTCAATATATCTTATATTTTGAGATGCAAAATCTATCATAAAAGTGTCTTATAATTTACTTTATTCATTCTTATATATAAGATATTTTTAATAAAATTATGCATGTAAATAAAAATTTATTATTTAATTGAAATCCCATTAAATTATAGTAATTTTCCAATTTTGCCCCTATATAGTCAATTAATATTATGACGGTAGTGAGCAAAGTCCACAATTAATATCTCTTCTCTTTTTTTAAGATGAGGACAAAATTATTTAATTATTTTAAAATATTATAACATCCTTTATATTAAAAAACAAATAAAATTAATCATTTAGTCCTTATAATTTTGATTTTATTGTAACTTAATTTTTCAACTTTTACTCGTTATAACTCAGTTCCTAAAATTTTAACTCAATTTTAAATCAGCTTTTAAACTTTACCTCTTATAATTTAGTCCCTGAAGTTTCAACCTCTTAAATATTGGTCCTAAATTTTAAAAAAATAAAATTATAAAGATTAAAAATATTTTAAAATTTTAATATTTATAATATTTATAAATATTAAAAGGGTCTGATAATTTAAAATATCATTAATAAATTTTAAAATATTTTTAATCTTTATAATTTTATTTTTTAAAATATAAAGATCAATATTTAAGATGTTGAAACTTCAGGAATTAAATTACAAGAGGTAAAGTTTAAAAATAAATTATAATAAGTCAAAATTAAAGAATTAAATTATAATTAATTAAAATTATAAATATTAAATGATTATTTTTTAAAAAAAATAAAATAAATTTTTAGGGGCAGGGCTACAGAAGGAGTATTAAAAAAGAAATGGAGGCTTATGGTATAAGATGAGGTGGAGCGCATCGGAATAAAAGAGAAGGGGCGCAAGATAGCGAAAGGTGCGCCGATGGTGATGCAGTAGTCAATGAGGTGAACACGCGGAGAGATAACAGGGGCAATACGCAACAAAAGAATCAACAAGTGGTGGCACCCACCACCTACAGCGTTGACTTTCAGTGGCGCGGCCTTATTTTAAGGAATCGTTGGATCAAGTGATCAATCCATCATATTTTTTTTTGTTTTTTTGTTTTTTGCCCGTTGCATTTCAGTTAAAAAAATAAAATAAAATAAAGAAGGGAATATAATAAAGGCAAAAGAACCCTACCAGCTTTATCTCTCGTCACCAAGTCTTTTCCTTTTTCAAACCATCGACAGTATCTTTCCCTTCTCCTTGAAGAGGAAAGATATCAGCTTGGAAGTACTTTTCATCAGAAACAAAGATGAGATTTTTTTTTATATTCCTTGTTTAATAATTAAAAAAAAAGATGAGTTTTTTTGGAGTGCTAAAGGCACCACATATATGTATTCAAATTTAGAACGTTATTAGCATTATCTTTTTTTGACATTATCAATTAATTTAAATTTAAGTTGATCAATCTTTGATATAGAAATTGAATTCTTTCTTTAAGATTGTTTTATTCACAAAAGTTAAATTTAAAATTTTACTTAAAAAGATAATTTTTTTTCTTTAACTTTCTTACTGACTTACTTTATATTTCTTAGAGAGTATGGCACCTCATTCTTGATGTGGTTTTTTTTAATCTTTTTACCTTGTCTATCGTATCTTTTTTATCCTTATTTTTAATATATTTTATACCTTTTTAAAAAAAATTACTTAAGTATAATATTTGATTTATTTTACTTATAATTCAATTTTGTTATCTGTGATTGTCACAAGCCTCTTTCATAAAGGTTAAGTTACACTAAATTTTTATTTTAAATTAAATTATATAAAACTAATTTTATTATTGAAGCATACTTCTTTATCGAAGCATGATAATGAACTTTTCTAAATTTCATTCTCTCTCACTCTCTCTCTCTCTCTCTCTCTCACACACACACACATTATGAAACCAATCTTATCAGATTCTTTTATTTTGACTGCTTTTTCACTAATCAATTTTAGAAGTATTTTGAGTTTGACGACAATGATGCCAGCCAACCAACCCTTCAAATCACGTGAAAATGATGCAACATCAATTAGCAAAACCATCATTAGCTCCCAACACAAACTTACATGTTCAACTTGCCAAATTACAAAAGACTAGTAAATATCTAACGTGATCCCCCCCCCCAAAAAAAGAAAACATGGTCATAAAAAGTAATACATAAAAACAAACCAGAAAAAGCCAAGGTCATGGCATTTATCAGCATGAAATCCTTCTGAAGAGGATTTGTGCACCATGTTGTGGCTGCAAAGTTATGAACAACATAGGAGAATGGCAATAGGTTGGAGACACTACAAAACTATAATCTCTAATGATCATAGCAAGAGCAATCTTGGCCTCAACCATTGCTAAATTTTGACCTATGCAAGTTCGAGGGCCGAGTCCAAAAGGAAAGAAGGCAGCTAAATGTCTTCGAGGTTCGCTGAACCTGTTCGGATTGAACTCGTTGCTATCTTCTCCCCATATCTCTTTGTCATGATGGATAGCAGTCAATGCTAAGTAGAGTTGAGTCTTGGCAGGAACACTAAGCCTCCCTACCATAACCTTTTTAGATGTTTGCCTCATTAACAGCACTGCAGGAGGGTATAACCTAAGTGTTTCATTAATTATCATCCCAACCTGTTGCAAGATGTCAACAAACAATGGTCAATATTGATCATTACAGAGCGATTTGTTTCAATTATGCTAGCAATGATGAGATAATATAAAGTAAAACAGAACCTTTGTCCTCCAAAAATGATTACAATACTTGAAAGTTTTTTTTTTTTTTTCAATTTCATCCTTCCAGAGGTGGTGGTACAAATGCTCAACTTTCAAGTGAAAAAAAAAAAAAAAAAAACCCAGAGCGAGCCAAATAGAGTCATATTTAGAGCACCAAAACATAAGAACTCAATAGTTATTCATTGATTTATACATTCTAGGAGCAAGAGAATTTGACTACATTACCACTCCTTCAGATATTGCATTCTTGATTGATCACACTTGTATCCTTAAAACTCTTCTGCTCATATTTTTTCTTTTCTCTGTGAACATTGTTAATTTTCTGAATTTCTGCAGATTACTCCTTGAAGCCGCACACACACACACACATGCATAGATCAGTTATTATCTAGATGTTTTGACAAATAAATCATCGTGTACAATAATCTTCATTCTACACCTTAAACAGAAGCATCTACAGCATTATAACTCAAGGCAGATCTTAGAAAAAGAATTTTTGAGCTTACAATCTTAAGGTCATTTATTTTGTCTGCAAGCGGAAACTCGTTTAGACCAACAACATGAAGAACTTCTTCTCGTGCCTTACTTTGCCATTCTTGATGTTTAGATAAGAGAAGAAGTGCCCAAGTCATCAAATTAGCCGTAGTATCCTTTCCAGCGAAGTAGAAGGTTTTACATTCATCGATGATTTCTTCTATTGTCAATCTCTCTTCTTCCCCAGCCTCATTCTTGCATGTATGCACCAACGAACTTAACAGATTTCTTGGATTTCCTCTTTGATTGGTCTTAGCTTCAATCAGCTTCCGAATCGATTCACGAGTTTCCTTTTCTAGCTTCATCCTGTCTCTGTTCTTCTTCGTAGGCAAATATCTGTTCTTTTGTCAAAAGTTCAAACAGAAATGGC